GGACGGTGTAAGCTGACAGGATTGCCGGATCTGCGACAGGGGAATAATCTTCCCTGTGGCAGACCATTGCTTGAGGACGGCGGTTTCTTGACCGAATACATCAAGTGGGAGGAGTCAGCCGCAGGCGCGAAGCGAGTGTACCACTCTACATACGCGAGCGGACCCCGTGGCCACCATGGAGGTGCAGACCCTCCGCCTTGCACCGCAGGGAGCTTGCGCGGTAGAGCGAAGATAACCTTCACTCTCCCCGCTCTTGTCCCTGTATACATAATTAGCCGTTCAGCAGGTGGGTATAGAAACAATTACTTACCTCGTACGCCGGTGGACTCCGCATCTCCGCTCTCCAACACGATGACGGTGTCGAAGCGGTCTTTCCGCCCTGATCGCACCGAAGCCGGTATGGCCTTCACAACATCAATGTCAATCTCCCGTCGTCCAGCTCGTAAGGTGTGAATGCGAATTTGTGGAAGACATCGACGCGCTGGAACGGCAGCCACGTTCTGGAGAGGTCTTGTCTGTTGAGTCGGAGTGAGTCAGGCTGCAAAGCGTTGATGAACTGAACGAGTGCGGTCGTAAATCCGGGTGCGTGATGGCGGGTTTGAACCATAGCTAGGTTTTGTTGAGGAGCAGGTGCGTACTTCGCTATTTTGATAGATGTCCCCGCTATGTCCACGCCTTCCGTTGTGACAGAGTGGGGAGGTTCTTCTGGTACCGATGAACCGGTCTCGGCATGTTCTTCGTCCTCCGGGTGTTCAGCATCCTCCTCCGCTTGACGTTCCCTCTGGAACATCTCATAGAGAGCCATCTTCTCGTTGCGGGTGATCCACCGCATCATTTGCGGGAACTCGTCGCGGTGGTTTGATGCTCGCCAAGCGTCCTTCGCGAAGTCGATGTGAAGTCGCTCGAACATCTCCGTGTTGTAGTTATCCGTCGTCCCGAAGAGCCGGATGGACTGGACATAGTGCAGAAGGGAGTGGATTTTAGGTATGTTGAAATCATCCCGTATACCGAGGTCGACCAACACTTGCTTGTTGGCATGGAACGTCTTGAGTGCATCCTCCATGTATTCCAAGGTAGTGTCGTCATGCGTGGGGTACTGCGCTAAGTAGATGAAATCCAACAGAGACCTGAAGGTGAGCATTGTTGACTTTGAGACCTTGCCAACGAGACATGCGAGGAGGACTCGAGCCATTTCTTTCCTCTCTTTCCCAGATATCTGAGAAAGAGAGGAGATGCCGTTACGGAAATGACGGATGCCGTACGCAGGGGGCAGGCATCGGAGGCGGCTGTCTAGTTCCTCTGCGGTGAGAAGCTCTTGACACCAAGTGACGACGTGTTTGAACACCCCCTGGTAAAGCTGGTGGAGAACATCTGGTGTTATGGATAGATGTATGTCTGCGTAAGGGAGATTGGTCCAGAACGGCGACCGCGCCGCACCGTTCACGTCCCGTAGCATGCATTCGACTTCAGCCGCAGCCGCACTGCGACCACCCGACCATGCATCGTCGATGATACTCTCTGTGAGCTCGGTGCGAGGGCTGCTCGGGTCTTTCTCCCCGAGCTTGTCCGCTGGACATTGGCACTTCGGGCAGGTCCCGTACTTCGAGCAAGTGACGAGGCATTGCTCGGGTAGTCAGCGACATATGCGGCGAGGATAGGATATATCCTGCGCACGCAGCCATCACCTCCGGTCATCTCCACACCTTCGACACCAGCTTTGATGAGGGGCTCGACAATGAGGCGCATGGAAGCGTGGAAGAGCTTCTGCGTTCGAGCCTTGCTTTCGCGATTGGTGAGGCCCTTCTTGCTGACCTTAGAGACAGGCAGGTACCCAAGAAGGATACAAGCGTGCTCGGACGGTTTGCGGCGGATGGCACGGGGTATGTTGCCGAGGGTGAGGTAGACGGGGTAAGCAGACTTGTTACCGGAAAACTGTGTCAGCTGAGTCTTGTCGGTGGCCAATATGACTGACGCGAGGGCGGCGCCCTCAGGTAAGTGTTCCTAGCACGGAACATAGCATTAGCAACATTCTACTGGTTGTACCATTGATGAGCTGTCTGACTTACCTGTACGGTGTCCCACCAGAGGCCCGTCCACATCTCCGTGTATATGCGCCTCAACCGCGACTGGTCCGCAAAGACTCGTTTGGGCCGGTATACAATATGTTTGGCATGCGCTGGATTGCCAACCAAGGCCTTAATCGCTTCGATGATGTCCCTGTACCGCACCATGTGCTTCTCATCTGGTCGATCAGGGAAGGTGAGCGTAGCAGTCTGCCATGATGCTCGGTCCGGGATGCTGTCCACCTTCTGGAAAAGCTGTCGGACGTCTTTGAAACTGAGTTCCAGCTTCTCAACAACCTACGCAAAGACTCGTAATGAGTGATTAAACCCACACAGGCGTGGCCAACTCACCCCCGGTATGAGAAGAAACCTGTTCAGTGAGTTCTGCCCGACGTCTTCTCTGACAGCCCACATTGCCACCCGCCAATCTAGCTCGGATGCAAAGGGCTTCCACTTGAGGTTAGGATCCTTAGCCGCTTGCTCATCCACACCCACTCCATCCACATCCATTGCGTCCTCGGGAGGGTCCTCTTGCTCAACATCCTCTCCAAAATAAGCCTTCCACGTGTCGACAACGGTCTCCTCCATTCTGATTACGCGCCCCGCTCGGGGGTCTTCATCCTCCACCCGGGTGTCTTCGTCGTCATCCAGAGCTGGCAGTCGAGCTGTCGGGGGAGGCCGAGAACTGGATGAAGACGAAGACGCTTCACCCTGGTCTCCGTTGGGCCCATCATCAACAGTAGAAGTAGGCAGAACGAACCGGAACAGATCCCTGTTCTCCATGATGTCATGGAAATCCAGTGGTTCCTCGTCCGCGTCGCTCGAGTCCTGGATAACGGCGTGTACCTGTTCCACAACTTCAGGTACCAGGCGGTCGTGAGGAACGGGGTTCTTGCCCTTCCTGTACCATTTGCAGGACTTTGCAGAGCTCAAATGAGCCATCATGCCCTGTGCTGTCCTGAATGGTCTGTCGCATGCCGGACAGGTCCTGTCGTCGTAATCCCCTGGGCGGAGGAATGGTACGTTCATCTTGCACTGGCCAGTCAGTAGAGGTCAGTACATGATCCCTGATAGAGGATATTTCACACAAATCTCACCGGGACAGTATGACGCTCTGGATGAGATGAAAAGCGTAAGAAAAGCCTTGGGAAGAATATGAGCGACGGCGCGTGGTCTCCGCTCAGCGTCTCATACTCATTCAGTCGCTTAGACGGACGTAAACGCCCATGTTACGGCGTGGATATGGGCTTCTCCACCACCGCTTTTTGTACCCACCTCCATGATCTATGCACCGTCATTAATATCCTTACAGCTATAGAACTTGGCAAGCGTATCTGCGCATCCATGGGTGCTTTATCACTGTAGGATTTATTACGACGCCTTGCTTCTAACTGGTTGTCTCTGTGAGCACTGATACCTCCGTACCTCTGAATTTTATTAAGCTATTGAAGTTACTCCACCTGTACGTACTTTTCACAGTCTCTCGGTATTGATTGCATTGCGTGAGTGCCGTTGCATATCTGTTGCATTCTGATGGTGTGAAGGCTTACCGGGAAAGGTCTTGGACATTCCATGTCCCTTCCTTTTGGGCTGACCCTAAGAAGTTGCCGCGCCCCCACAAACCGAAGAGCCACCGTGTATTTCGAGCTATATATGCCGGACGGTCTGTCGCAAAAATTGTACGTTCATGACGTTCATGCTGCCTTCTTCTGATGTGGTCCATCAAGGTATCCTATGTCGTCAGTTGGTAGAAGCGAACTGACTGAAATGAAGCGCACAGATTGACACCGCACTAGTTGTGGTCTGTTGTCCCGATTCAATTTCCCATGAACGAGACAAGTGCCGACAACTTGAACGGTGACTCCTCACTCCTCTGCAGCACGACATACACTCGCTCTCAACATGGCGACGCCTCGCCGTTCTGTTGCTTTCCTCACGCAAGGAATCTCTCTGGCTCTGATACGGATATCGACTCCGACTCTGCGGGGCAACCGACTTCGGTTCTGACATTGACGGCAGTCAGCCGTCTTCCGAGATCGACTCCACCCTCTGCCTCAAACTCCTCCTCAGATCAACCGTCCTATCAAGGTCGCCTCTGACTGGTCTCCGGCCAGCCGGTCAGCGTGCAATCGTTCGATAACAAGGCGCATCGCCTCACTCGACCTTCGGTGCGGAAAGCTCTCAGGGACATCGTCTCGGAACCGTTACCGTCGGAGTTCTGGGCCATTTGAAGAAGTTTGAAGTGAATCCGGTGGATCACGATTTCATGGTGTACGTATTCGAGGAGATATGGAGCTTGCGGGAAATTTGGGAGCTCTCCAACCCGATCACTTCGTGCAGAAGGTGAGATGTCAGTCTCAATATATGAATGGTTGGTGTCAATATCAACCTCAGGACATACCCCACATTGAGGAACGTCGCTGCTGGGTGCTGCAGGACATACTGTCCAAACTCTGGCAGCTGAACCCCGCTTATCCCGACGCGTCGGACAATGAAGACGCATCAATGCTCCACGCTAATTTGGATGACGACGACGACGTTTCAATGCACCACACTGATTCGGACGATGATTCTCCAACCTCGGCTCAGCATGTGGTTAGCTTTCCTTCAACGCGTGCGGTGAGTTCCAAGAACACCTTTCTCTTATTCCGGCTAACGCGTTACACAGCGTTGACTTCTGGCCGGAGTCTCGGAAAGCAGTGGTTCTGGGACCACCGTTCATGGGACTTCTCCATCGCATGGCCAGCGTTTCGCGAGTCTCTCAATAGGAGTGCATTTCGGGTCGAGATGCAGGATAACGTTCAGACTTCTCAATGCGATCTTCTCACCGTCGATGTACAGTTCCGCATGAGGGGCGGGGTGGTTAGGACTATCAGGAAGAAGGATGAACTCGGAACTGAGTTCTTCTTTTGCATGGGGGTGCAGTCAGTGGGGGAGCTCAGTACGAGATGAAGAAGGTATGTCCAAGCCTCCAAGCTGTTACAGTTACAAGGATTCATGAAAGGAACAGATGGCCGGGGCTTTGGACCTCATGTCACCCTTCAAGGCTTCGTTATCGCGCTGGTTGTCCCAACCAGCACGGGTACCGGGTATCACTCGCCCTCCTAGCTCTGGAAGAGGATATGCCCGCCTTACAGGCATGCCTCATTTTCGTACGAGCGGGCTGAGTTCGGCGACTTCCGCAATGTGTGGAGGAGGCGCGAGGCTTAGAGGACTGGGAGAAGGAGACATCGCACTTCTTGGTAAGATTGGGTTCACATCTATGGTCACGTACTCATCCTTGCACAGAGGCTCCTTGCCTGGCAGCCTACCTTCCTGCGTCGCAGCTGCAACCAGCCAGTGGATGGGGCGCGGATCCTCAAGGATCGGTTATATTCCATCATAACTCATACAGCTATGCTCATCTGGGCATCAGCCTCTTGATCGCGCCCTCAAGCGCGCCATCCCCACGGAGCCCCAGTGGAAGGAGCGGGTGACCTCCTCGCCCACGAATGCCTCAATGACATCATCTTCTTCCTCGACCAGTCCGTCGGGCATGTAGCGCATGAGTTCGTCGGCGGACTCAGAGGTTTCGAGCGGGGAGCCCTGCTGGAGACGACCCCGTCTGGTCTCGTAGATGAGTAGATTATCGCATCATCTATCTATGTATACCTCCGAACTTTGTACGAGCGTATTGTATGTGTATCGATCCATTATCCGCTTCCCTGTCACAAAAGCTTCCTTGTGAGAAGCTTCCCCGTGGGCGGCTCAAACCAGCGCCGGAAACGCGCGGGCATTGCGCCCATGAGGAGCGACCTTTCCCTCTGTGCTCTGTCCTCGCCCCAAGCTCAGCATGGCACCTTATAAACCGCCCTCCACTGTGCATGAGACCCTGGTAACATCATCTTTACTTACGTCTGCAACATGCTCCGCCAGATCGGCCATCACCCATCACACTGCAGCACCAACTCCTGGCACAGCTTACCATGCTTATCAAGGGCGACCCAAACCATTCCGACGTCGTCATCTCCTTTCCATTTTCGTTCATGAACTTCATCTGATCATGATCGAGGTTTGCGTCTCGGAAACAGCCCTCACGTCTTCAAGAAGGTAAGTAAATACTTATCATACTCGCTGTGCTAAGATCAAAGTGCATGAACAATTCCAAAGGTGGCCAAGCTCATTCGACAGCAGTCGGGCATTATTCGCTTTCATGTTCCTGTTTGTTCGGGAACGCCACGAATCACGGGCCCCTGGGCAATTCGAAGGGTACCCGAGTATATGCGTCAAAGCTGGACGAAAGCGCGTGCACTGGGATGAAGGGGAGGAGGCCCTCGGTGAGTGGACCATCAGGACAAGACACAGGTGTCCCGCGAAGGCCGGGAGCCACCGCCCCAAAACATTCGCCCCGTCTTTCCCGCAGGAGACCCGGACCAGCCGCACTCTATCGAGGTCAAAGAGCACTGGTCGGCATTCGCATGTCCGCCTCGTGCCCTACATGGCGTCCTCCTGCATGGAGCCATGAAGCTAGACGCCGTCATAGTTCTCCGCGACCGATTTGATGAGATACTGGAGGAGGTGACAGGGGGACGACCATGGAGAAGATCGTAGATCGCTTCCGACCGTGGTGAGTGGACTTACTTCATTCTCGTGCGTTCCCTCACAAGAGGTCCGACCTAGTCTTCAAGATGGATCCCTCTCCGGAGTGGATTGGATCTATCTCCCCCGGCAGGAGTTCTGGCGGGAGATGTTGCGAATGTGCGTGCTCACTCGGAGAACGTTTAACGCGATGGCGTTGAACATGGGAGGCTTGAGTGGTCCTCGGCCCTTGTACACCGTCCACCGCAATCGCTCCGCCCCCGCTTGCCAATGGATGGCACAGCACCTCCCTGGTTACACACTCGAGAGTTCATCCGTCGGGAAGACGAGGTGTTCGAGAGGTCGTGGTTTTGTTAGCTGATCAACTGACCGGGGAAGCCTTGAAGGTGTTTCACGATTCATGGTCCAGCGACTTCTCGAGCGGCGATGCAGTGGGCAGACAGCAGACTGATGGACGCATTGGGGTAGATTAAGGATGTATTCACCGTATTCTATTACACTGCGCACCGATTTGTAACCTTTTGTATGCATTACGGTCTAGCGTGCTCTCTTCGCAGTTCCAATGTTCAATATCAATGTCCCGATCCACCATGTCCACTGGCGCCTAACTCCAAGTCCAACTCACCGCCGATCATGACCACCACACCGGGGCAAGTATGCCTGAGCTTGACGATAGCAGAAGCAGAGGCTCTTTTAAATCTTCTGGACGACTTGCCGGTCTCGACGCAACCTCTACAAGGCGTTAGGGAGAGGCTTGCCCAGTCCCCGAACATCCAGCCATCTTCCCTTGAGGCGACTTCCTTGGGACACAATCACGCCAGCATCCAGTCGACGTCTGCGGCTCAGGCTCCGCATGTACTTGCCAATGGGGAGGGTCTGGAAGGTGCGCAGTATGCAGATATTGTTATCAAATTGACAGCCAAGAGATCACGCACTGCAGAAGTCTCGTCCAAGCGCGTCCAAAGTACGAAAAAGCATACCTCAAATTGGCAGCTTCGAGCAACAAGAAATCTGGGAAACGTGCAGATCAGGCCTTCAAGAGCATCAAAAATTGCTCTAAAAAGAAGAGTAAGTCTACCGCTGCAACGGCGGAGAAGCAGTCAGGGCCACCGGCTCTCAAATGGATGAACACACATGCCCCGGAGGGTACAGTTTCAGAGCCGGTTAAGAGCTTCATCAACGGCCTCGATGCTTCCCTCAGTGACAACAATTCGCTGTACGCCATTGTGGAAGCATTGCAACGAGATGGGGATAGAGAAACCGCGTTCCTGGACGATTCCCTCTCATCCATCATACAAAGGTGCAAGCGTATGACGGCCGTCAGTGCCGCCACCGACTTTCTCTTCATGGTGCAGTACCTGCAGCTCGTGTTCAAGTGCTCTAGGTGTGTTTTATTTTATCATAACCCCACTGTGCCACCGAGTTCCAGTTGACATTTCCTTGTATCTAGTCTACAACATCTCCATTCGCTGAGCGTTAACGGTGTCTACGAGAAGCAAGTCAGCATCTAGACAACCCCGTGTGCGATCGTACCTTCCGTCGTTGGGTGGAATGTGGGAGTAAATTTGCCATCATGGCGTGGGGAGGTACGTCACTATTTTATTCTTCAATGCTCCTGTCAATAAACTTGTGTAGGTTCCATATACATTCTCATGCTCATCGCCATAGCGGATATGAAGCACAGTCTTCTTCATCCGGTTGGCAATTTTGCCTGGCAGGTTGCAAGTGTACTTCGCAATCCAAATCCTGGTTAGCCATCCGTTTCCTTGGTATGACGGGTTCCATCACTCACCGACCACTTCGTTTCACTAGAGACGGCTGTCGGTGGGGTTGTGATCAACAAAATCATTCCACTGTTATCAACTCTGCGACAAATACTCCCACTGACGTTCGACACCCTCTTATCACCCCGTATATGTGCGGATTATGGCATGCTACACGATTCGCTCATCTGCTCCGACCTGGATCGATGTGATTTAGTTTTCACTTCTTTGAAGCTCAAGTGAGTGCCATGTCCATTGTTGTCGACTCTCTACGTCATGTATCTTTATTCCCCACAGTAACTTCGGCCCGGTGCCGCGCAACAAGAATGTGTGGCTGGCCTTCTATCAGCCCCTACAGGCCCCTAGGAGACCCAGCTAGTCATGTTGGCTGGACGATGGCTCTACGGTTCAGATAACCAAGAGAATGAAGCCCCTCCCTCTCCATTGACGGTTTGCGACGAACCCTTGGAGGGAGAGGAACCAGGACCAACCGCTACGCCCATCTCTGCGCCATCAGCCTCACAGTTTACCGCACCATCAGCCTCACAGTTTACTGCACAGCGCCCTGCAAGAATATCGCTTACGGCAGCTTATGACCTGTTCCACGAAGCCCATAGAAGAATTCCAGTCCCAGCCACTGCGGATGAGGCGTTCTCGTGGACAGAGAGAGAGCGCGGCCGGGCGAACGCCGCCCGGGAGCCTCGAACCATCGACGAGCTGCGATATATTGTAAGTTCGTTCAAACACCATCTAACTCTTTGACTTACATGCTACACTACGTTGGCTTGTTCAGCTCTCAACCATGTATGAGGAAGGCTCGCGCATCAACAATGATAACAAGTATGTGAAGATTGCACCCACCATGTCCACGTGAGTGCTTTTCACGTCAACTCTCAACAATGATATTGAATTCTTGTACAACTGTTGCAGAGACCCTGTTGAGATCCGCGACCGCAAGGGCTCGCTTATCATGTGTATCTTTCCGAACATGCCAGAGAAGTTGAGACACAGGCTGTTCACGGATCTCGTCTCTTGTTTCGATGAGGAACCTTCTGGACTTGAGACCATGAGCTCATGCTCCCAGGGGCCGCAGTACTCTTTCGAGGCGCTGCATTTCGCCTGGTACAATAGGCATGGCACAAGGGTATGTGCGCCCATGCCTCACTTGGTTTGTTTTCCGTTATAGCTGAGAGTGTTATGTGATCCCATAGGGCTACCAAGTTTGCAGTGAATCGCATCCGCACCTCATTCGAAAGGCGGACCGCTCCAGGACCAACTACAGTCAAATGCTGCCATACCCCTCCGCTGACATGCACAAGCATGAACGGGTCTACCACAATCTTGAGCACATTTTTGCCGAGGTGTTTGGATGGATCAGAGAGCAAGTACGTCAGATAATGACATTTCTCACTGTTCTATCCGTAACTAATGTGTACCAGATCCAAATTTTGTTTCCCCAAGAATACGCGGAGATGAGCGTTGACGCGGAAGTGTTGCCAGGGAACGCCGGCTCGATTGTGCACCCATTCCTCTCGCTCGTCATTAACCTGAATGTTGCCACTTCCGCTCACAGGGATTCCATGGACAAAACATTGTGCGTTGTTTTGCCCATTGGTGACTTCGAGGGCGGGGACCTATGTATGTACGAGCCCGGTTTCGTGGTTCCCCTTCGCAATGGCGATGCTGTGGCCTTTCCTTCTTTCAGTATAACTCACTTCAATCTCCACTACACCGGCTGCCGTGCTTCTATTGTACTACACACGGACAAGGAAATAGACAAGTGGACGAAGGGCAGCCGGAATGGGTGGGAGGGCAATGTATATTTTAAATAGGGTTTTTAATATTACGACACGTACGTACGTCTTCGGTTGCCACCAATTGATCTGGCTGTCATGCTCGCTCCAATCTGTTCGTCTTGCATCTCTCTCTCTTCGTCCATGGTCTAGGTTGTAAGTACCCTAAACTCTTCATCAAGCGTTGCTCAGATGGTGAGCAGCTTCTGGGACTTGGAGCTTTCGGACTCAGTCAGTGCTTCACTCCGCATCTCCGAAGGGGCTTCGGTTCTTCCGTTATCGACAGCGCGGACGCTCAACGCTGGTTTGAGTCGTCGACCCGCCTCGCGGTTTGTCTGTCTCCGATCTCATTCTGCGAACTCATATCTAGTTGTTGCCTCATACCATGTCTACTCCGCAGACACGCTCCAAGGCTGCAGCAGCAGCGAAGACCACGAAGAAGGCTCCGAAACCGCCGTCAAAGGCGAATGGCTCCCAGAAGACTCAGTCCGATGTGGTTTCCGATTCCACTGTTGCCAGCAGCGGGGACATACAGGAGATCAAGGACTTCTTGAAGACAAAGATGAGCGGTGCATCGGCATCGCAAATCAACGCCATGGCTCGCTCCATCGCAAAACAGAGGAAGGAAGCAGCGGCGAAAGAGAAGCGGCAAAGTAAGATTTTACCGTGGCCAGATCAATCGAAGTATACTACATCTTGTTGCAGCAATCCAGGATAACAACGCGGCCGCGATGGAGCAGGATGACCAAGAGGGAGAAGATGATGCCGAGGCTGAAGCTGGAGAGGATGAGGAGGATGAGGAGGATGAGGATACGGTGCCGTCCAAGTCAACAGGCAAGGGGGAAAGAAGAAACAACGTGAGTACATGCGCCTGCCAACACATGGACTGACACTATGATATAGTCTCAGCGCCGGCGTCGCCCTCGCGTACGAAAGCCTCTAGCACTACCAAGAGGAAGCACCTCCAGACGTCCGACCAAGAGGCGAGCGACACAGAAGAACGCACGAAGCAGCCTAAGAAGAAGCCAAGAACTCAAGCTTCGCGCAAGTCAGCTCGAGTTGAATCCCCGGAGCTGACTGTCGTGGAGGACAATGCGAGGATCATCCCCAGTAAGTGTCATTGCATTGTCTATGTGCATATTCCCGGACCAAGTCTGCACTCATGTCTTGAAGACCGGTCGCCCCAAAGGGCAAGAGAACCCGAAGTTGTCATCACTTGTCTGCCCGAGAAGCCTGCCCCGAAGGTGTCGAAGGATCAGCAGCAGCTCTCCGCTCTCATTGGTAAGCCACTCACAACCAGTCGTCCATCATTGCACACATGGAAGATACGCAGGGATGAAAGCGGTCAAGGTCAAAGGAAGTATGGCTAAGGGCACGGTCAAAGGTGGGGTCTCAGATGGCAGTGATGGGAGCGAGAACGGGGACGAGGAGGATGGCGGTGAGGATGTAGGAACTCCTGAGCCTGTCGGTGAGTTCACTCTGCTGTATATGTCATTCACCGCTGCACGTGTTACAGTGTTCGACACGACCCCCACGAAGAAAGCTGGATGGAAAGGCAAGGGGAAGGCAAAACAGGCATCACCCGTGGACGAATCCGAGGGGAGTGGTACAGAATCCTACAAGGTCTCGGATGAGGATGATCAGCTGGAGGGGAGTGAGGGTAACGGATCGGATGGACGTGATCCCCCACTCGCAGCGGCGCTGATGAGGTATGCTTATATCGCCACGGGGACCCTCTGCTAACTTGAACTTCATTCTTAGATGGACGTGAAGCTGGAGGGCAAGCAGAAGGCGAAGACGAAGTCTCAAGCTCGGTCCAAGTCTGTGAAGGTGGAGGACGAGGAGTCTAGGGACGATACCATTGAGGTGTCCAAGGAACTCCTCAACGAGGAGCCTCTGAAAGGCTTCTTGCACCGTGCGACCCAAGAGTTTCGGGTATACCTCGCCGTGGTGAACGCCTGGCCCCGCAAATACGCCAGCAGCATGGAGAAGAAGCAAGCCCCGCTAGAGGTCATCGAGCAAACACAGAAGAAGTACCCGATGTACCAAACTAAGCAGTTCAAGGCCATCTACGATCCCGTGTGGGAGAACATGGGAATGAGGGCCATCATGTCGGGGAAGGTGAGTATATGTTCCGTTATCTCATCCTCTGGGCTAGGGGTAGACCCATTTGTCCAGGTCTACAAGGTCGCTGCACAGTTCCGCCAGGAAGTCAAACAGAAGGCGAAGCGGGTGGTTGAGAAGTCCTTCCTGACGTTCAACCTGTCGGACTTCGGGTCCAGTGCAGAGAAGCTTCGGAAGGCTACCGAGGATCATGTGAGGTTCCTCAAGGACAAGGACACCTTTCACCACGGAGACCTCCAGATGCCAGATTACAGGGTGGATCCATCGGTACGTAGTATACTCACATTTACATGCTGGAGAATGCTGAAATAAAATTAGCTGTGGGTGGCTAACCATCGAGCCCCCTTCCATAACGTGGCGATTGCAGAAATCATAGCACGTCAATGGTGGATGGGAGCCAATCCGGAGGCTCTGCGCCCCGAGCATAAAGACCGGTTCGACATCAACAAGATCCCACTCTCCAGCAATATGATCGCACTAGTGTGCAGCGCTGTAGGCACATTCATCTTTCATGTACGGTCTGTGGATAACATGATGTGCGCCAGATTGTTGTGTCTCTCGACGAGGCCATGAAGGGGAACGTCACGGTGGCTTTCGACGAGAAGAACTATGCCCCCCTGTGAGTCTCATACCAGTAGCATGCCGGCCTTGACTGGCTGACGGAGTGTATCTCATAGGCACGATGGTTTCAAGCTCAGCATTGATGAGCTTCGGTTGAGCGCGGATCCCAAGAACACGACGGTATACAACGAGGGTTGCGCAAGGTTCTGCAAGTCCATGGACCAGACACTTGCCACGCACATTCGGTGAGTGTCCTGTACTATCTACCAG